GATTGTGTGTATGAATGTGTATGTGCATGCACATGTAGACTGTGTATACACACACACACACACATTTACTCGTGTATAGCATGCTTTACAGGTCAGAGCTGGCAAGATGGCTCAGCAGATAAAAGTGCTTGCAGCCAACACTGACAATCTGAGCTTGATCTCTGAGCCCCCTATAGTGGAAGGAGAGAACTGACTCTCCAAAGTTGTCCTCTGACTTCTACAATAAGCAAATAAACATTTTAAGAAATAAATTTAAAAAGAAAAGGAAGAGATTGTAAATTGAGCTTGGTGGCCTATGCTCATAATCCTAGAACTTGAGAGACAGAGGCAGGAGGACCTTCACAAGTTCAAGGCCATCCTGGTCAATATAGTGAGTTTCAGGCCAGCCAAGAATATACAGTGTCTCAAATTTGAAAAATGAATATGTTTAAGTTTTCAACCTATATTTCACTCCTTCTCACTCCAGGTTCCTTGACCTTCTGGAAGGAAGAGCACTTAAGAACTTATATCCTTGAGGATTTTATTTTTAATGTTTATTGTTATAACATTTGTGATGGTATATACAAACCCCAAACAAAATCAAACCAGAAAAGAAGCCCTTGCACAGAGAGGGGAGGTGGCCATGAAGTTGACCACGACTTTAGGAGGTATTGCCAATTGAATGACTTACATTTTAAGCAAATACCCCAGATGACTCCAAGACATTGGTAAAACAAAGCCACACTATCAAATGCTGGAGACAGAGCATTCAGCAAAGATGTAGATGACATCATAGCTGTCAAGGAGGCAGAGACACTGGAATACATCCTGTCGCTTCTCAGAAATGTGAAAGCTTCCAGATCTACATGTGAATTAAATGTTTACCAAATGGCCTTTAGAGGGACTACCGCATAGGTAAGGCTCAGCTCCTGACTCCCTGTCTGGAGAGAGATGGGACTATGAAACCAGTAACTTGCAATAAACTACTATCAGAATAAACTAAAAAATACGGATGAACTTAGTCAAACTGGGGGACACACCATTAAGTTTACTCTATCTCCTCTTTCCTTTTTCTAAGTGACCTCATCCTCCTGCCTAAACCCATACTTTGCACAAGTACACACCCCACATCACACACACACACACACATATATATATATATATATGTATATATATATTCATACACAAATGTTCCCAGCCTATACATATACTGTATTCTTCCAACAGATACACAACACAGAGAGAAACTGGCAAATTTAGAAAACACTAGACACCTGACACCCAACAGAAGGAGTTTCAGGAGAACATATTTCAGTTACATCTACCAGTGCTACATAGTTTAATGTCAACTTGACACAAGTTATGATCATCCAAAAGAAGAGAACCTCAAAGGAGAAAATTTCTCCATAGATTGGGCTATAGCCAAGCCTGTAGGACATTTTCTCAAGTAGTAATTATGGGGTAGGAACCAGCCCATGATGAGTGATGCCATCACTAGGTTGGTGGTTCTGGGTTCTATAAGAAAGCAGGCTGAGCATGGGACTGATCCAGACACCCTCCCACCGAACCTGAGCGACAGAGAGGAGGCCGTTGCAATCTGTGGGACCTGGGAGAGTGGAGCAGTATTTATTCTTTGCATACAGAGGGACTCTGGGAACCCATACCACGTGGAGGGATGCTCTCTCAGCCTGGACACATGAGGAAGAACCTGGGCCCTTCCCGGGATGATGTGACAGACCCTGAAAATCCCTCATGGAGGTCCTTGCCCTCCCTGGGGAGCGGAGGGGGGGTAGAGTGGGAGTGATGGGTTGGGAGGATTGGGGGTGGGGTAGGAGGGGAGGGAGAGGGAACTGAAAGTGACATGCGTAAAAAATTAAATAAAAAATATATGGGAAAAAATAAAGAAAGCATGTTGAGCAAGCCATGGAGAGCAAGTCAGTACGCAGCACCCCTCCATGGCCTCTGCATCAGCTCCTGCCTCCTGGTTCCCACTCTGCTTGAGTTTCTGTGCTAAGTTTCTTCAGTGATGAACAGTGATATGGAAGTATGAGCCAAATAAACCCTTTCCTCCCCAATTTGCTTCAGTCATGGTGTTTCAGCACAGCAATAGAAACCCTAACTAAGACACTACCCTAAAAACAAATACTTCTCCTGAAATCCTGGTTTAAATGAGGATCCTAGGCTTTATTTGACCACTTCCACCTCTCCCTCCACTTTCATGTTGCTCTTTCATATTGTCCTAATTACTGCACTGCTGGAAGCCCTATAAATGAGGGAAGTTCTGAGTCACTACATGTAGATGGAAGTTTCTGTCCCTCCCACACCCCCGTCCCTCAGCCATGTAGTCCCAAATAAACACACAGAAGCTTATATTAACTATAAACTGTTTGGTTGATGGCTTGGGCTACTTATTTGCTAGCTCTCCCTTATTTATTAATCCATTTCTATTAATATGTGTATCTCCATGTAGTCTTGGTTTACGGGAAAATGCCCGGGCATCCTATCTTCTAGGTAGCTACATGGCATCTTACTGGAGACTCACTCTCTGAGTTCCTCTTCCCAGAATTCTCCTAGTCTGGTAGTTCCACCTATATTTCCTGTCTGGCTACATCATACCTGTTCATTAGCCAAAACAGCTTTATTCATCAACCAATAAGAGAAACATATATTCACAGCATGCAGAAGACATTCCCCAACAACTACATTTTTTCCTTTCTATATCATTTCTTTAAGTGTGTATAATATGCAGGTATTGCATCTGCAATTGGAACTTTATAAAGGTTTAGAAACACTTCAGATGCATATTTAGTAGTGTCAAACCACCAGCATCCCTGGGAACGTGCCCCCTCCAAAACCAATTTGTGAGCTGACCTATAAAGCCTCAGGTGTCTGAGTAAATGCAGGAGATCACAGGAGGAGAGGGGGGCGGGGCAAGAGCAGAGGCACAATAGAAAGGGCAGCTGTGAATGGATGCTGGGGAAAGCAATCTGGGCAGCCCTGGGCATGCTGAGGGCCTTGATGTTTTTGTGAGGAAATTAATTACAATAATAGTTACCAGGAGGATATTTTGTTGCCATGTGTGTGTACTGCAAGAGTCTCATGGTGGGAAGGGATGCCCTCCCCCAGATTCAAAGAGCATCTTCCCCTGATTCTCTATAGGTTTTATGGGAGCTAAAGGGCTCATGGGAGCTAACAACTGCCTTGGTTAGTATTTAAGATTAATTGGTACATGCTGGCTAGTGTGTTAATAGACTCAACATTATCACGTCCCTGTGCGGAGCGCCCTATTATAGAAGTAACAGTACTCTAGGAAATTTGGTCAGCAGTGGGAACCTGGGATGTAGTCTAACTCACACATTAAAAGCTGCCACACTTTATTCAGCCTAGTTCTTCTCACATCACACTCATGAGACAAATGGAGGATTCCGTTTTCCAAACATGGCTTCACGTTGTCTTCTACAGTGACTCCTCCATCAGTAGATGAAGTTCAATGCCCCCAACCTTGAAGATACCATGATGGTAAAAAGAAAAAAGAAAGAAAGAAAGAAAGCAACAGGGTTGAGCAGAGGTAGTAGAAATGGCTTAGGAAGCTGGGTCAAAAGAGATGCTTAGTCAGGACTTATGGAGTCTGGCTATCATGAAATCACCACATTGTGAGGAAAGCAAGCTGCATTCAGAGACCAGGGGCAGACTCAGAACTATCTTCAATCAGACACAAGAAATGCAGGAATGATCCTGCTGCATGGACTTCAGCTCTTTGAAATTACACGGCTTTCAACTTTTAGATCTTCTTAAATGAAAACCTTGACATCCCAGAGCACAGACAAGCCATCCCCAGACAGACATGCCCAATCTCATTGCCGAAAACACACAAGGTCCAATACACTAAGTACTGAAGTAACTTCTTATATAGTCATTGTACCCAGAACAAGACAGGATGTCACATGACCTGTGAACATGGTAAGGTCTAACAAATTCTATCAAAATCTGAAGGACTAAGTGACAAATAGGTTGACTATTGTACTGAAATCTACCGTGCTGGTGGGGGGGGGTTCCATCTGTGGCCTAAACAATACTGTATTATTTAATAATACTTTGACTAACACAGAACTTTTTTTAATTCTGAATTTTTCCAATTTTTTATTTAAATTAGAAACAAGATTGTTTTACATGTCAATCCCAGTTCCCTCTCCCTCCCCTTCTCCTCCTCCCCTGCTCCCCAGGGAGGGTAAGGCCTTCCATGGGGGATCTTCAAAGACTGTCATATCATTTGGAGCAGGACCTAGGCCCTCCCTCATGTGTCTAGGCTGAGAGATTATCTATTTAGATTGGGCTCCCAAAGTCCATTAATATGCTACGGATAAATACTGATCTACTACCAGAGGCCCCAAAGATTTCCCAGGCCGCCTCACTGACACCCATATTCAGGGGGTCTGGATCAGTCCTATGCTGGTTTCCCAGCTATCAGCCTGGGGTCCATGAGTTCCCCCTTGTTCAGGTCAGCTGTTGCTATGGGTTTCACCAGCCTGGTCTTGACCCCTTTGCTCATCACTCCTCTCATTCTGCAACTGGTTTTCAGGAGTTCAGTTCAGTGTTTAGCTGTGTGTGTCTGCTTCTACTTCCATCAGCTGATGGATTATGGCGCCCGCGCCACAAGCAAATCTGAGGTATTGGGAAATGAAAGACAAGACACCCAACTATTTGTGCTAAGAGAATTCATCTGCTGCCTTTATTTCCAGAGAATGTGTGTGTATATGTCTTTATTGCAAGTGCTAAGAGATCTTTCTCTCCCTGTAGTAAAGAGGGAGCAAGCTTATATACAGACTTACAGCACAGTAAAAAAAACCCCAGGTGTAAGAGCTCGTGTTCTCCTCATGCTAGATATTGATTTCAGGCAGGCAAGGCCGGGGCTGTAAGCCAGGACTGGAGAGTAGGATGCACCTGTGGCTATCAGCTGACAAGCAATGCACAGAAATCCGTGGGGGCTGGGACCCAACACTGGATGAAGGTTCTAGGGTTGCATATAAAGTAGTCATCAATCTCATTATCAGAGAAGAGCATATAAGGTAGCCTCTCCTCTATTGCTTAGATTGTTAGTTGGTGTCATCCTTGTAGATCTCTGGACATTCACTTAGTGCCAGATTTCTCTTTAAACCTATAGTGGTTCCCTCTATTATAGGCTCCCTCTATTATGGTATCTCTTTTCTTGTTCTCCTCTATTCATCCCCTGACTCAACCTTCCTGCTCCCCCATTTCCTTCTCTCCCCTCCTCTTCTCCCCCTCTCTTTCCCCCAGATCCCTCCCCCCATGCTCCCAATCCACTCAGGAGATACTGCCCCATTGCCATTCTCTGGGGTACCATGCATATCTCTCCCTCAAAGTCCTCCCTGTTTCCCAGACTCTCTGGCAGTGGGATTGTAGACTGGCACTCCCCAGATCTATGTCTAAAATCCATACATGAGTGAGTACATACCGTTTGTCTTTTTGTGACTGGGTTACCTCACTCAGGATGGTTTCTTCTAGTGCCATCCACTTGCCTGCAAATTTCAAGAGGAGGGGAGGGAGAGGGAACTAGTATTGACTTGTGAAGTAAGCTTGTTTCTAATTTAAATTTACAAAAGATAAAAAAAAGTTGTTTAGATTTTAGGAGGTGGAGTCTAACAAGATACTTTAGGTCATCAGGGGCATGGTTCTGATGAAACTGTAGGATCCAGCGCTCTCCTCACTCTGGCCTTGAGGTGAGTAGTTCTACTACATGCTCCCACCATGGTATGCCATCCCTCCACTGACCTAAAAGTGACCTATCTTCCCAGTCACAGAAGACCTCCAAAACCATGCTTGAGGAAATGCTGTACTACGTTCATTTAATCAGCAACTCCTCCACCAACACTTGTTCCCTGAGTGTCACTGCTTCCGGACTTCTTTTGTCCCACCTCAGCTTGTTTGCTTGTTTCTCTAGGACATCTGCCACATAGCTCGTCAGGAAGCCAGTGGAGGTGGAACCAGAGGTGAGACCCAGTGCTTTCTGAAGCATTGGTCTGAAGGCAGCAGGGCCTTGTGAGAAGGACTCTAGACAGGTAAATATAAGCCATGGGGGAAGCTTATGAAGTGCTGACAACTATCTTGATCTTTGTCCTGCTGATTTCTGTTTCTCTCCACAGTGGCACTGTCATATTTTAACCATTGCATGGTTCACCTGGACAAATCTTGCCTCCTTAATCCCCTAAAAAAAAGAAACAGCGAGAATACCCCCTTCCTTCCCAGAAGCAGCCAGTTATGAGCAAATTTTATTGGCATTCTGGAAACGATCATCTTGTTGTTTATATTAAGACATCTGTTGCTAATCCAAACACAGCAATCATATTTCAGACCTGTTCTCTCTTCTTGAACTGCTGGGGAGGGGAAGGATTCTAAGCCTCACCAAGAGTTACCAGCAAAGACTCCAATGATGTATTAATGACATCTCCAAGAGATCAGGAAGCAAAGCCCAGTGCTACAGATTTGCCATGCTGGCTCTGAACTAAGGCATGGTGGAAGCTACTAGTGTCTAGAAACAATAAAACCATTTTTAAAAAGCACAAAAGTCAGTCATAAATTAGCAGGGGAAATTCAAACAGATTTTTTGTAATATTGTTTTTTTTGTACCACCAACCCTTGAGGGGAAAAGGTGTGAAAAATGAGTCTGCTTTATTACATTGCCCGGTCCTACAGCTGATTCCAGTGGGATTAGAGTTAATAAACCTCTGAGATGGAAGATTGAGTTGTATTTGCTGCAATCCCCATTTTATTTCGTTTCAGATAATGTGTACTCACCAAAAGTAACTTTATTATTCTTCAGACATCTTTTCTCTAACTCAGAATCGGATGATTCCATCTGTGAAGTGTGTGCACGGCCTGCCCCATACTTTCAGGCATTGGGAAAAACCCTCAGCACTAGCATCCACACCTGGCCTTTCTGGGTGGAAAAAACACCTTCATCCCCATGACCAAATTCACATGAGCAAGTTAGTGACAGCTGCTTCCAAATGCTCAGTCACTCCCTTGCAGTGAAGGAGGCTGGGTAATGAAGCAGCTGCGGACCCTTGTTTGTTCAAGAGACTAAGAAGCAGCTCTCCATCCAACCCTGACTTCTCTCCCTGTACAGTTAGAGTCTTCACGACATATGATTTGACAAGGCAATGCAGCCATACAGACAAAGAATTTCAAGAGACCTGACTCTAGGGCCGCACCCAGGTGCCCTTTCTGTAACAACAACATCTGAAAAACTTACCTATCAGAGTTAAGGTGATGTAGCTCAGTTTGCCTAACAAGTACAAGGCCCCAAGTTCTAGTCTCACTTTTGAAAAACAACGGAACAGTCCAAGACTGTAGCCACATGTCTATTGGGCATTCATCAAGTAGCTATGCCACAGAGAAAATAAAACTTTTCGTTTAAATTATAGTTAGTATAAATATAAGTACCCACTGTATAGCTTTAGTCAAATTAGTTTGCCCAGCACTTAGTTTTACTTCCTATAGAACCTCCAAATATACCCACTCCTTTCTTCCTGCCATTTAGTCTCCTAATCCAAGCTACTCAGGTCCTACTCTGAGTACCCACCAGAACCTCCCTCCTTGCTGACCTTGGATAGTAAATGCTTGCAAAACATGAATAGTTCAGAAGTGAGGAGAGCACAGGGCTTTCACAGAGGACCTGAGTTTGGTTCCCAACAGTCACAATAGGTGGCTCACAACTGCCTGTAACTAGCTTCAGGGGGATCCAACACCTCTAGTCTCACAGCCACTTGCATTCACAAGTGCACGCACATATTCTCTGTCTCTGTCTCTGTCTGTCTCTGTCTGTCTGTCTCTCTCTCTCTCACACACACACACACATACACACTTAAAATTTTTAAAGTAAATTGTATTAAAAAGTATATTTAATGGAGCTGGAGAGATGGCTCAAAGGTTAAGAGCACTGGCTGCTCTTTCAGAGGTCCTGAGTTCAATTCCCAGCAACCATATGATGGCTCACAACCATTCATAATGAGATTTGGTGCCCTCTTCTGGTCTGCAGGGATACATTCAGATATTGCACAGTTACATAAAAAAATAAATCTTAAAAAAATTATATTTAAGGTCAGGCATAATGACATACATCTACAATCCTGGAATCCAGCAAATGGAGACAGTGTACAATTAAGAGTTCAAGGTTAGTGTGACATACAACAAGACCTTGTCCCCCAAAACAAAACAGAAAGTAGACTTGAAAATTAGCATTCATGAGGTTGGAGTGATGGTTCAGCAGCTAAGAGCATGAGTTCTTGCAGGTGATTCAGGTTTGGTTCCCAGCAGTCAGGTAGTGACCCACAACCATCAGTCACTCCACTCCAGGAGATCTGACTCCCTCTTCTGACCTGAAAAAGTACCAGGCATCATGCATGTGCACATAAATACATGCAGGCAAGACACTGATACACACAACATAAAATAAACACAGCTAAAAATAAAAGTGTTAATTAGTATTGCATGGATGCCTGCAATGCTATCTCTAGGGAGGCTGGTTCTAGGTTCAAGGCGAGTCTAGGATGCATGGATGCACAGCAAGTTCAAGACCAGCCTGGGATATGTAGGACTCTGTCACAAAATTTAAAAGTCCATTTTTAAAAACCTTCTGAAATATTTCCACCAAAGGTCACAAAATTGTGTGAAACTTAATGAAGACCTCTTTGGTGTCTAAGCCCTCCTACATTGAACTCTCCTAAGTTCCAGCCACGCTGACCTTTCTCTAGACCTGAAGTCCTATTCCCCAAGATCTTTGCACTGTCTTTCCCTCCTGGTCTGACACTCAGAAGAATGGTGAGACACAAATATCTAACCATCTTAGTGATGCAGACACAGAGATCTGTATCCTAGAGTGAGCTTTGTATACCTGTTATCATACTCTACTGGCAAAACTATGAGGTTCACGGGCCTTTTGAAGGGCAATGAGGCAAAATATACCAAGACTTACAAAAATATCAGTAACTTGTTCTGGAATGTACCTCAGTGGTGGAGTGTGTACCTAGCACACACGAGGCCGTGAGTCCCATCCCCAGCACCACCAAAATAAAACAAAGCAAAAAAAAAAAAAACCTTTTAATCTGGTAAGTTTCTTTCTAGAACAAAACTTCTTAATGAGTAGATCAAAGTTCATATGTAAATCTTAGTAGCATTATTCATCACAGGAAGTACAAACTGCAGCCAGAATTGCTGATCTCAGAAGAACTAGGTTAAAAGATTATGACTCATTCATGAAAAATCATGGTCGTGGCTAGTTTGTAATGACCCAGGTGAATGACTCTGCCTCAGTTTCCAACCTCTACATCAGTCTGTAACAGTGATGGATTGCTGCGTAACAAATGGCCACCCCATAAACTCAGCAGCCCAGAATGCCACCACTGTTGCTAAGCATGCGGCTGGATCTCTCTGCGCCTACCTCGCCCAGAGCTGTAGTCACCTTAAAGTTCAAATAGTGAAACATCTGCTTCCACATCCTGCTTCTCCTACTTAACACACAGACCTTTCCGTGAGGCAGGTCACACATCCAGCAAACAGTTTATGTCATCAGGGCAAGCAACAGGACAAGAAAGAGTGACAGCAGGATATAGTCAGTATTTTACAGCTGGAATGTGAAGGAAACATCCAGTTCTTCTGTCATGTCCTATTCGTTAAAGGCACCTGGTTAAAGAGAAGCTAGGTAACAAAGAGACCCTAAGACCGACAGACATGGATCCGCCTAGGAAGGGGTAAAAGTTCTCCTGAGTAAATAGGGAGCATGGGGGGGCAGGGTGGAGGATGGAAAGGGAAAGGGGAGGAGGGAAGGGAAGTGGGGGAAAATGTGTAGCTCAATTAAAATAAATAAGTAAGGCACCTAGTTAACTGGGCATGGTGAAGCATCCCTTTCATCTCAACACTAGAGAGGCAGAGACAGGCGGATCCCTAAGTCCCAGGCCAGCCTGATCTACAGAAAGAGTTCCAAGGCAGCCAGGGCTGTATAGAGAAACCCTGTTTTGAAAAAAACAAACAAACAAAAGGCATCTGTTAATGGTAGCACACCATGGAAGCTCCTGCCTGTAGCATCATAGTGTCTTGTGTTGGCACCAACAGCCGTGCTAGAAGATTATACCCAGGACCCGGAGAGAAGCCCTGGCTGGAGCCCGTGCACATTAGAAAAGAGCTCTGCACGCCTGTAGAGAGGATCACTGGGGTCACTGCAAAGCAGCCTGTGTTGCCTTCAGTAGCTGGTTAGGGACCACTAGCCTGAGTTCTCCCGGTCTTTCCCATCGGCTTGTGCAATGCTGAACAAACAAAGCAGATTTGGCATAAGCACCTGCCCATTGATGAGCAATGAGCACACCCAAGCAATAGATGCAAACAATGGGAAAGTTGAACACTCAGAAGAGCTTCCTTCCAAGCACAAAGACCGAAGGTCATGGTTATTAGAGAGGTGGAGGGTGAAGCAGCCAGAGGAAATCCTGATGCGTGATTTAAGCTTGAAAGTCCCCAGAAGCAGGGTCTAAGCCAGGGCAAGAGCTAACCGTTCAGCCAGGTGATGGTAGGAGACCCTGCGTTCCTCATTCAGACTGTCCCCCATTCTCACATTATCCGCTGGGACTGTTGACCACTGATGGCATACAGTGTCCACTTTTCCAGAGAACTGCTCTCAGCGGGCAGGTGCCTCCTCCCCAGAAAGCTGCAGACACACCCCTGCCAGAAGAGAAGTGGCCACTAGACCAATTTCCATCCTTGCTCAACTCCTTCCCTTTAACTAGCCTGATTCCTCCAATCTCTTTGTTTTTGTTGGGGTTTTGTAAGTTGTTTTTATGTTTTGATCTATTTTGTTTTGATGTTGTATGGGTGTGTTTGGTTTCTGTCCCTGGATGTCCCCAAACTTCCTGTGGAACTTCAGCTTCTGATCCTCCTGCTGTTGATTCCCAAGTGCTGGGTGTACAGGCATTTATGTACTGACACATCCAGTTTGCAGCACAGTGGGGGTACGGCAATTAAACCCAGAGCTCCAATATGCTAAACACGCTCTCCATACTAAGCTGCACCCCTAGTCCCATCCTTCAACCCCCTCCACAAGAAATGACACTCTGCTGGGTATGGAAGCTCACACCTATAAGCCCAGCTCATGGGGAACGAAGGCAAGAAGATTGCCAAAAATTCGAAGTCAGTGTGTGTAAAGAGAAGCCTTCCCAC